AAATGCTACCCTTGGTAGAAAAGAGGCTGTTGATACTATTACCGTCAGTGTCATAGCTCGAAGCGTGTATTGAAACAATTAGTCAAACAGGGTAAATGGAAAGAATGAAAGAAGGCAAGAAGTAAGACCATGACTGCAACTATGAATAGATTAATCTGTAGTATAATAAATAGACCAGGGACCAACAGAGCACGACTGATACCAAGAGGAACAGCCGACACTCAAATGAAGTGACTTAGTGTAATGGAGCGTTTGCCACACATTTGGGAGGCATTTAATCCGTCAAATTCAAACAGCCGAGATCTTGGAAAATAAATAATTGTGAACAAAATATACGTTGAATACATTGGGAAGATGTGATCACAAGGAAGAGACAGACATTCTGCTAATGTCTCTAATGAAGGATCCGCAACGGATTTCGAAATGTTAGGCGAATAAAATTCTTGTCCCAGCAATCACACCTCCTTTTTCTCAATTACTTACTGGGACTGGCATGTTCACTCGCATTGGCAAGTTAAATGAATTCCGAGTGACAACTGCATGCAAGTATTACAGCATGGAAACGGACAATTAAAAGAGGACTCTAGAGCCAAGGAATCACAGTTATAGTATGGAAGACGTTTGATTGATGAAATACGGAGCACGAAGCGAGCTTACCAAGTCCGCTACTAGTGTAGTAGCTTTGAATTTGGGAGATTAATTTGTTGTCTTCTTTCCGGTTCCATTAGGTAACGTCTATAAAATGAAAAAAAGAAGCAGCATAAACCTTTGGGTAAAGTCTACCAGACAAACGTCAAACGTAACATGAAATTAGTGGCTATCAGTTCTAGTATGCAAGACACGTCAAATAGAACGGGAAAATGATTAAACTAAGTCCTAAAGGTACAACTAATTCGAGGAAGCCGTGAAAGTCCGGAGGCCCAGGGTGGTACTCAAAAACGGCTAACAAAGTGAGAAAATGCAAGAAAAAATGATAAAATTTTCTTCGAAGATCGACACAGTCACTGGCCTTATTAGCTGACTGGTAAGAAGGCCGTTTTTCATGGCAGAAACTTAATTTTTATTATCTCAGCCGAGAAAAAAACTTAAATTTGATCGGCAGAGGGTCGGGGTTCAACATTATGCCTTTTATCGTGTTCACTTAAACCTGAGATATTCAGATACACGTAGTAGAGAGTCAGTAATAAGTGGTATAATGTCGAGTTGTGCAAATTTAAAGAACAACTCATTCTAGCGTCGCGGTGCGGCAAAGTTACGTCTGAAAGTCGAACGCTTCGGTCTGCATTACGGAGGATTAAATATGCGATTAATTCCGAGTTTTCTTATCAAGTGCAGTACTTGACCGCAACACAAACACCCACATAAAGTACACAACTTTTCATCTAGCCATCAACTCATAAGGAGTTGTGAGTCATGACGCGGTGGGGCCTCATATATTGAAGAAGACTATTGAGACTGTTAAGTGCACACCTGCGATGGGTGAAAAATACTAGAACTGACTCAGAGACTTGAAGTTGAGAAAGGCATGTCATAAAGTTTGACCATCTACTTTATGAAACAGTAGTTACATGCTAACCTTGTGACTGCACAGAGGGCAGCCCAACAGGCAATCGGAACTCCGTTTCCATAGAAAATACATGGCGGCCGACAACATTTAGAAGGCAAAAAAAATTAGAAAATGCAAGTCAATATACAGTATGAGGAAGCCAGATAATTACATTTACGGACGATACTAGGAGAGTACATTACAAAATTCCGAGCCCTAATTTTACTTGTTCATAATTAAAGAGGAATCTGGTAGGCCAAAAAGTGTGCACTTAGTCTGCATGCCACGCCTAATAAAAGCTATGGTTTCTTAAGGGCAATCCCGAGAAGACAAATGACAAGCTCTCAAGACAATACACCTGGTCAACCAACAAGACGTTCGCCAAATCGCAGGTGATGGTAATGTCTGCAGTTGAGCTACCCGGAAAAAAATTACACACGCTGGTTTTTAGGTTTCGGTAAGAGCTTGTTAGTATTTGCTGCACTTTTCGTCTTCTATTTAGCAGACCCAATTCCAGTCCGTTGTGGATCGGTTAAAATGCCTTTAAAGTATCCAAAACTAAATATATTAGCAAGTGTTCAAATTAACCAAAATGAACTCCACCTCTATTAGGTTTCAAGACCCTGTCTACTTCGGTAGTTTTTTAATAGGCATTTTGCCTAATACCCATATATTTTTCTGCGTGCCTAATAATTTTGGTAAGCACATTTTCTTTAATATTTCTGCAAAGTCTGTATCTCGAAAAGAACTCATATCTCCATGGCACACCTGTGTATCTGCGCAAGATTCTATAGGCAACCATGAGTACAAAAAGGAAGATGAGGGGACTGAGAAAGCCTATGTAATTTACGGCTTACTTTAGAACTCACTCTTATCTCCAAAACATGAAGTTTAAAATGAAAATCTATACTTCAGGAAAAAGAGGTCAATGTACTCTGTTGAACTAATTTCTCAACACTAACCCAAACTTCAACCGAAATTTTAACCTAAACCATCAACGTTAATCTCTACATCTAATTCAGAACCGCAAAATCAAATTCTAAATACAAAACGTACCTCCTTAGCCGTCACCTCTAACAATAGTACCTGTGTCAAATACTTAAATAAGTTCTTCTTTTCCTTCGATTCACACATTTGTCGTCTGGTTGCCCCCTAGTTTGGCGTACACAGGGAGAACTGCACCAAATACGCATACTCGCCTAATAAGAGGATTTTTTCTGACAAATGCATATCAGAATGTGAAATGAGCGTACATGCAGGCTACCGACACAAATGCTGATTAAGCCCATAGTATATTCGAGGTTCCTACTGATTTGCGGCGATACTTGTACCTGTACCTTGTACAACCGTAGTCAGGCCTTGTCTATCTAGCGTCGAGGATGTCGCTAAATTACCTCTCTGGGCATGACGATCTGCGACAGCAAATGTGGAGAGTGCGAACTATTCTCTCCGCTGGAGGC